TTTTGTACACCATTCGCTCTTCTTTTTGTTTTTGCAATTCTCTTTTCAATATTTCAACCTAATAATTAATCAAACAATCATATAATGATATACATATATATATCTTCCATCACTACTAACACAAATAAATTTCTTCTTTAAAAAAAAGACACAAAATACCCATAAATTATCCAACAAATATTAGATTTAATTTTGGTCTTTTTTTTTTTAAAAAAAAAAAAAAAAAAAAAAAAAACCTGGTTCTGCAATTCTGACCATGGCTGGTAACTTGCTGCCGATACAACTGAATTCATGTTGCCGGTGCAGCATCCCCAAGACCATCTGCCATGGCGGGCGCCGCTACTGGCCGTTGATGATGTCATTAACTTCACCTACGAATTGCTTTGCTCTGAGAATACACTGTTTTGTGGGTGTTATTAGCTACAATCATTATTATATGTGTGTGTGTGTATATATATATGTTAGCTAATATTGCATTAGATCAGAAAGCAAATGGGAGAGAGATCAAATAGACAAGTGATTAGGATGTTGAAATAAATGAGTGTGTATATATGCCAAATTTGATTCACGGTATTGGGCGAAGTTGACAAGGTTGAAATGGATAAAATTGCCGGCTTCCCCTAAGACTATTTTCTCAAACTTCCACATTTTCTGTGCTTTGATTTCATCACCATCCAATTTATTTAATTAATTCTTACAATAGTTTAACACTTCTTCAATAATGAAGGTTCTATATAAAGACTTACGTATACACTGTATATATATATATATATATATATATATAATACTAATTCTATTCAGCCCATTACTCTTCAAAACCTGAAAATGGAAATTCATCAGCCCATTTTGTTGTTCAAGAAAGAGACCATGGCCCAGCTTGAAGAAAAACCTTTCACCCCTAAATGACATCGTTTTGAATGACGAAAATTAAAGAAGCTTCTGGAAGTTGAAGAAAAGTCCACATGCGGATTGGCCGTTGGATGACGAGAATATACAGCGACGCATAGAATAAAAAACTTAATATATATTTTCATATTTTTAATATTTTTAAAAGGAAGAATAAGAAGGTGTAACCGCTAGCAGTTAGGGTGCGTGTTCATTAGTTCACCGCCATTCACTAGCAATTAAAAAAAATGTCGTCCTAATTATTCAATTCTCCACTTCACCTACCACACGAAGGAACTCTTTTCAACTTCTAATTATTAATTAATTCAAATTACTACATAAAATAAAACAATATATTTTTCTACATATATATATATATATATATATCTACCTCAAAGCCTTATATATATGTATAGACATATAATAATCCTATGATCATGTTATATTTTGACCCACCATAGAAATGGGAACAGACCCATTTTTCACACACATTAATATATATATATATATATATGCGCATTTCCTTCTAGTGCATGCTCATCACGTACTGATTAACTTATAGGTTATAATTAGGTCTATATTTATGCAATGATATAATTTCCCCACGTATTCTTTATTTTATTAGTATGTAGTTAAATACTATTCTTTTGTCTAATTAGATCCATTAATTATATGTATTCTCAGTTCAACTTTGTTCTGACTCACTTCTTAATCATTATGTATGTATAAAGGTTTATTCTATTCTATATATGTACGTACGTACCTACAAATTTTCTCTATCAATATGCTCCCGAACATGCATGAAACCAGAAGGTGCATTTAATAATGTAGATACAAATAAAAAATATTAATGGTAAACTAGATTTATTGAATTCGATTTGTATCTTAAATATTCACTGATTAAGTCAATAATAAAATATTAATATATATATATATATATAATTAGAAATTAAATTTATTAAATTATTAGTTTTTTGAATGTGCATGATTTAAAGTATAGTAACAACTGGAAAGAGAAGATTTTAAGAAATTGTCAATGTCCTTTTAAAAGTATAATTTAAATAAATTATTTTTTTAAGTAGAATAATCTATATATATTAAATTTGTACTAGACGGGTGAAAACTTATTAGTTAATTAAATTATTATTATTTTTTACATATCTAGGATTATGCTACACGAAATTTGTATTTGGAGTTGTCAATTTATTATTAAAATTGAACATAATCATCAAAAATATTTTTTAAATAAAGAACAAAACTATATCTTTTAAATGTTAAATTCATTTATAAAAAAAAATAAAATATAGTAAGAAATGGATCTTTTATTCTGAGTATCTGTAAAGTTCAATTTTTTCATACATCATTTGACATCTCTCGTTTACCAATTGATTGGGTAAACTCACGTTTGTCCCTTTATATTTTATACCTGTTGGTGAATTTTTTTTTTGTCCTAATTTCTTAAATAACTCAGCCTCTTGATAATGTATTTTGTTATTTTACTCAGTAGTAAGACCATACTTTTGGTTATGGAGGAGGCTATTGGTAAATGTATATACTAAATGACTACATTAAGGACTTGTGCTATTTTAGGGTTGAATCCTTTTAGGTGGTGCCTCAATATTTTTTATCATTTCCAGTGAATGATCATGAGGAATATTATTTCTTTTATTGATTTCGACCACTCATAAGCGAGCTCTAATTTTTTTTTTATTTGTCACACTCCAAAACTTGATAATGAGACGTGATTACTACTCAAATCATTTTTATTCGACGGGTCTACAAAATATATATATGCATTGCTAAAAAATTTAACATAAAATATATTATGTCATGTGATATATACAACAGTTATATATACAGAATATGAGATTAAAATTTAGAGTTTAATAAAATAAAACAAAAATATTTAGAATATGAACAAAATATACATGAACATGAACACTTTCAAAAGTTCTACAAAGTTTTACTCGTCCGGCAATGATCCTTACTCTTCTTTCTCCTATAAAAAATATCAAGATAAAATTTAATGAGTTTACCAACTAAATAAGTATTTTCGTTCTTCCAATCCCAAATAAGATTTCGTACAGAAACACACAATATGAGATAAAGGCAGTAGTAATATTTTTAATACAAAATTTATTTATTATTTTCACCATTTTCTAAATCAGAATTTACTTATTAAATACAATTGTTCAAACATTCTAATTTCACATGTTTCTGATATGATTTCTTAATTTTACTTGAATATCATTTATAACCTCGAAGTATTATCACAGACATTCAAAAGAATATATATACACTCGGAGATCATCTCTAGAATTTCACCGCACGATGTCGTTTATGTCGTCGTCGAAGAGAGACGAAATAGATCTTACAATTGCATGGATAACATACATACAAAATCTCATATTAACCACAACAGTTACTTTTGCTAGGTGATCCACACTCACAAACATCTATTTACGTCTGAACTAGGTTTTTCATAGATCATTTTAAGAAGATTGAGTACTATTGACATAAAACTTAGCTAAAGTTGATAGGGAATATACGTCAAAATATGGTACCTACCAAGAGCACATAAAATCATAAATGCTTTTAAATTTTTTATGTAGTAGTAAAGTTTGTTGTTTTATATTATAGTTCAATGTTAAGTACATTCAATCATTCGATAAAGGCTCATGGAGAATTTCTATAGTAAATGAACGATAACAGTTGATTGTTGGACCAGTTTTATGTGACAAATGGATCTTCTCAAGTTTTTTTTGCTATTTTTATGTTAAAATTATATTTAATATCCTTAAAGAGACTTTTTTATTAGAGAATTTTTTTTTTTTTTAGTTTGATTTAGGTTTTACTTGAGTTAGATAATGACTAGTTCAGTAAAATTTTTAACTTGAGTTTCTAAGTCTTCATAGTGACTAGGTTATGTGAAATGATAGTACAAAATTTCTTTTTAAACTATGGTGCTTTAGGGTCCAAAGTTAACTGATAATGCAATATGAAACTAGAATTTTAGAAATTTACTTTGAATTATTTAATTTGAACCACTTATAATAAGTTGATTTGGATGATATAAAAAGAGAACAAATCCTAGCATGTATGTGTAAGTTATCTTAGTTAATAGCTCTTTTTAATGTGAAGTCGAAGCCTTTAGATGTTATCAACATAGATAAATTAAATGACTCTTCGGTGGTGAAACATTTTCCTAAGAGTTAGGGAGGAGTGTTTGGAGGAACAAAATTGTTAATAGACTCATATCTAAAAAATGAGAGTTAAGGGAATGTTATTCAATTTGTAAGAAAATAACACATGCTTGAAAGATAAAATAAAAATTGAAATAATGCCAACTTGAATTTAACCTAACCATATAACAATTAAAATTTTAATGAACATAGCAAAAACTAAGCTAACATATTATAAATCACATTGAAATTATATTCCAAATGTTTTCAGATTAAGGTATCCAACGAACCTTAATATCGACGAATACAATTTGATATCTAAACAAAAATCGCGTGAGGGTTTCATGCGGGAGTCATGTTTGCGCGATACAAAACCTCCAATTCATGGTAGAACATAAACATGTCTTGTGCCATGAATTGAAGATATTTTAGATTAGATTTTAAAATATAATTTCTAAAATTGAAATAAAAGATCAGAAAAAAAAAAGAATTTGAAGAATTATTATGTAGTTAATTGTATAGTTCTTTCAATTAAATAAAAACAAGCACATACACTACGTCAAAAAAAATTTATCATGATGCACAATAATCAACACACAGAGAAATGAATTAAAAAGCTTGTGGAAAATGGTATCTACAAGGCAATAAATAACATGAATTTTTTACTAATATAAAGTTATATAAACTTTATTAGATTAATATACAACAAGAAAATTACACAATATAAAAATTTGATAAACAGTAATAAGCTGAATGACATAATAGCTTTTTATGCTTTAGGTTAAAACTATATAATTTTTCATGGACAAGACCCGTTGTACACATCTACCTCATTTAGTGTTATTTAATAGTTGAATTGAATGGTAATTAGAAGAGAGATGGGGTGAACCAAACACAGACATAAATTAATAAAAATTTAAAGGAAGAGTAAGTATATATATATATGTATATGTAAAGAGGAAATGAAAGTTGTACATGGCATGGGGAAGAGGCAGAGGGGTATTAGGTTAAGCAGGTGAAAAAGAGAAGGGGGCCCTTTTGCAACATCAAATCTGAAGAGAAGAGAAAGTAAAACAAAGTTTTCCACTTTCTCTATTCCCATGGCTGAAGAAGATCTGCCCCTTTCTCTTTTACCATTTTGCTTCTCATTCCCATCTAGAATCTTTCTTTTCTTTCTCTCACCTTCAATTAAAATCTTCACTTTCCCATCTCCAGATTTCTCTCCTTTTCTTTTTCCCTCTCATTTCTAATTAGATTGTTTACAGTTCAAGCTATCACTAATTTTATATGAATCTTAAAAAAACCAATATTCTATGATGAATTTTCTTTTCTATAACATTAAAAGAAAACAAAATTACAGGATCAAGCCACTAGCAATGGCACGATTAGTATCCATGTGGGTAGTTTCATACACAGGAAGTTCTTCATCATACCTGTTGTTTCCAATTACTGAAAGATGATCAAGCTCGAACAAATCCGAGCTTGAATCACTGGCTGCATCATCATCATCATAATTATCCCCAACGTTTGAGGAGATTGTCAAACTGTTCTTCTTTGAATGATGATGGTGATGGTGATGGTGATGGCGATGGTGATGATGACAATGATGGTGATGATGGTAGTCTCTCAATAACTCCCTCGCCATTTCCTCTACTTTCCTGCTCTTCTCCATCACCATTAACTTCAGCTCTTCCTCCTTCTTCCTCGACGGCGACTTGCCGATTTTCCATGAAGTTGGGACTGATAAGGACATTACTCCCGCATCGTTTTCTTCTTTATACAGACTTTTATGGCCGCAGGGTCTGCAATCCTCGTCTACAATGATGCTAACAGGGTAAAACCGAACGCTTCTTTTAACTCCATTACGCAGCTTCTCCCTTGTAGAAGGCGAGTTTTTGCTCAGGCATGACCGAGAAAAAGAAGAAGCAGAGGAACATGTTGAGATTTGACCTGATTTGCTTTGTCTGCTATGGATGGTTCTATCTACATCGCAGCTCATCATTGTTGATGGTGATGAGCTCTTTGCGGACCTTCCTGCACTGAAAAGAGAATTAATGAAGCTGGCGAGGCGGCCGCCGGGGGAAATCGGCTGCTTCACCTTCTTGAGATTACTGTAAATCTTCATAGCCCTGGATTTTGACTTGATGAAACCATCTTCTTGCTTTGGATCGTGATCGTCCAACAACTGAAACTCTCTTCGTTGATAAAACAGAGTACACTCTGTTTTCTGTGAGCGAGGCAAGACGCTGTTTCGGATTGGCTTAGTCCCACCTCTAGATCTTGTACCGTAGATGGAATCTGTGTCGGAGGATGAGAACCCACCAGAGCTTGAATCTGATGAGATTGAAGTGGAGCTAAATAACAAGGCATCGTGATCGTGATCGTGATCGTAATGATTTTCTCTCTCGAAAATTTTCAACAGTTGGCCTCTCTGACGTGCAACAATGGATTTTTCATTCGCTTTCTCTTCCACCCATTTCTCAACCAAGCAAGCTCTACGTTTCCCAGAAACCTCTTCTTGCTTTCGTGGAATTCTACTGCTTTTGGTCGTAACTTTGCTCTGTTTCTTTTGCATTGTGTGTGGGTAAAACTTCAAGTCCTGTAAATCACTTCCACAATCATCGATTGAACGATAGATTTCATCTAGAAGACTCGAAGAGAAAGAGGGTTTCCTCCTCTCTTGTCTGTATCTATTTTCTCCGAGTGATTTCTCCCACCCGTACATGATTTCGATGTGTGTAAGAGAATTCGACAAGAACCAAAATAATGCAGAGGGAGTAATAATGAGTGGAGGAGAGAAGAAGAAAAGGGTTTGAAACAATTTCCTTTTGTGTCTGGTAATGGAGGAACAAAAAAGCTGCAGGGAAGATAGAATCAGAAGGTGCTCAAATGAAAAAACTAGGCAATACCCAGATGCTTTTCCTTGCTCACTGTACAATTGGGAAGAAGAAACAGGAGTAATTGATTTGATTCTCTTTAATTCAGAGAGAGAGAGAGAGAGAAAGAGGGTTCTGAGGAAAGTTGCAGGCTTTGAAGGTTGATTGAAGAGAAGGGGTGATGATGAGGGGCGAGATAGACATTATAAAGGTCTAGGCGCGCGTGCATATCCAATGCCAGTTTGGCAATGGGGCAATCTGCAAAATATTTTAAATGTCATGAAATCCCCATATTACCCCTGGTTTCTTCTGAAATCCCGATCCTGGTTTCTTTTGAAATCCCGATATTACCCCTGGTTTCTTTTGAAATCCCCATATTAGCCATCTTAATGTTCTTCTTCTTCTTCTTCTTCTTCTTTCAAAATTGAATTTTGAGCCGTTTGATGTATAAATGTTGGGAGATGAAGTGGGTATGCTACTGTGTGTGTATATATGGTATAGTATATCATAATCACATGCAACATTGGAAATGTTTGTGGGTCCAATATGTTGGGTGTGCTGTGCAAATTTGACACCTAACATATATGATATATTTATTATATGAAAGTTTATAGGCCACCTTCTTCTTTCATTTGTGGTTAACCTAGAACTGTTATTGGACTTTAATTAGTATATTTTATTATCTATTATTTTATTTTATTTTTATTTATTAATTATTATAAATAAAAATATTAAAGATGAACAATAAGACGGCTATTAATAACAATTAGATAATCATTTATAATAATTAAAATAGTATAATAATATGTGATAATAATAAAAGAGTTATATCGATACAATTATTTATGATTTATAATCAATTACAATTATAATATATGATATGATAAGTAAATTTTGATGAAATAATAGTTTTTATTCAATAATAATTGAACAATGTTACTTTATTTTAATTTTTATTTTACATCTAAAGAAATGAATTACCATTAATTACTTTTGAAATAAAAAATATATACATAGTTAATAATAACTTGAAATTGTGAAAATAACTCCAACAAGAATAAATTAGAACATTGTGATTGGTTTGTTTTCACTTTTTATACCTTAATTACTCCTAATCTTGTTTGCTATGTATCAATTTCTTTTATCTTGGGTTTCTTTGTTTGAATTAGTAATCCTCATTTTATATTGTTTTAGTAATGCTGATTTTTAGAACAAATACTTATAAATTAATGTGCTAGTGTAAATATATTATCTACATTAGATAAAATTATTTAATATTTTATTTATGTCAATTAATGCAAAAATCTTTGTAAAATTCTATATTCATTTTGGCATTTTTATTCATGTATATAAACTAATGAAAATATGAGAATTATTTGTAAAAAAGAGAATTTATTCTTGTAGTAGCAAGCCAATTACTGGTAGTAACAAAATAACTACGATCATAACAAGATACCTAACAATAGTACCATAACAACTATTTATAATCTCTAAAAATGATAATTTCTTTTTAAAAAATGATCGATATTCGATAAGATAATAACGATTAGTGGCAGAAAAACAAGTGCTAGTGATTTTAATATAGTTTAACTAAAATATTAATATATTCTTTTAGTTCCAATGTTACTTTTATGAAAATTTAATTTTTACATAGGTGTGGTATCCCAATTAAAAAAAAAATGATGGTTGAGTTTTATATAGAAGTCAAATCATACACAATAATAACTTGAGTTTGAATTTTTAAATACAATGGTTTGAATATAAAGATTATTGAGCCATTGATGTTTAGATTGAAGGTATTATAAAAAGTATCTGAATATATGTCAACTTAGTAACTCTAAACTTGTGTGATCTTGGATCTTGCATGCAAATAGATTATTATTTATGATCGTAATATGTAGCATTGATAAAAAATCAAGGATTAAAGAGATAAAGATTATAATATCTCAATCTCATATGTGAAAGATATATAATTGTTGAATTTTATATAAGAGTTAAATTTATATATCACTAATAATTTAAGTTTGAACTTAAGATGGTAAATGATTTGAAGATGAATTTTTTTTTATATCTCTAAAAAAAGAAAAGATAGTAAATGTGCTTCTTGTTCGTTTAAAACCCAAGTCTATATTTCGATGTAAATATTTTAATTCTAGTGTTTCAATATACAATTAGTTAGGTACTTCTTAATGGCATCTCGTAAATAAATACATATTAGTTTTAGATTATTGTTGTTTACTTTCTTATTCTTCATCATTAATTGGAATTTGAAAGGCATTCAAAATAGTTTGTTCAATCATTTAATTTGGTTTACATCTTTTAATTTGCTGACTTTGCTGGTCTCCTAAATCTGCAGTTGTACAACTTCAAATACAAAGGCACTTGGACTGTAATGCATTTACTAATTCACAATTTTATGATTAACTAGCAGGTTAATTTTGGATTATCTTGCATTTATCAATCCTGAACTTTAAAAATTTTCGATGTGATAATTTGTTTAGGGCTTAATAAATTTTAACATCTAATTGTAACATTATGAATAGTTTAGAAGTTAAAGTAATAAATTTTTTTTTTAGTTTTCCAATTTTGGGTTTTAAAAAAACATTTTCGTAACTTATTAAAAAATATGAATAATAGATGATAAACATAATGCTAACCTTAACGATTATATATTTACTTACATTGTAAATACTAAATTCATATATATTATTATATTTTTTAACAGATAAAGAGGAGAAGAGAACTGAGAAAAATTATGATAGAATTATCATGGAGTCCGGAAAAGAAAGGAAGGTTCAATGTTAGTTTTTTATAATAGGACTGAGTTGGCACTAGACTTTATTTTATATAAATATATATATGTATGTATGTTATTGAAAGGAAACCTCCTCGTAATACCTTGGGGATATGTATATATATGTGTGTGTGTAAACTAGCAGATATTTTAGAACACTTATGGGGTTAGATTCTTTTCTCATTAAACTAGTGCTTTGTATTGTGGTTAATGTTTTAGTGTCTCTATTTCTTAATATATTAATTGGGTTTTGCTGTCACTAAATTATTTTGTCTACAATATAATTAATGCATTATATATATATATATATATATATATATATATATGAATTGCAAGTACTACGTAAGAATATATATGGGATGAATATATATAGTCTCTTTTTTGATAACGAAATATCCACAGTTGTATATTCTCTTCAAGCGTGGGTTTTTGTATAACCTAATAATTTTGGATTATTGTAGTCGTACATGTAATCAACAAACCATGCACATGCATGTGTATATACATTCTTATTCAATAATTAATGGCCTTTTTAGGTAAACATCAAGCCAAAATTATTTGAATTAATTATACATATTACTATAATATATTTTGAAGTTATCAGTAAATACTTCTAACTCTTCTTAAAAGGTTAGTACTTTTGGAAATATATAAGGGACAAGTGATATAATTATATATGTACGTATAGCTTATTTCTTGTTTAAAAATCCCCTAGACGACCTCTTGAATTAATTAATGACCCTGACTTGATATTAAAACAATAAAGGCCTTGTAATTACCTACCTATTTTTTTTATGTTGAGCAACGGGTTAAACCAACCCGAGTGGAGGACTAGAAAAGGAAGCACAAGTTTTCATTACAAAAGGTATTGAAAATTGTGTATATACAAATTCATTAGTGTTTTATAGAAATAGCTATAGAAATAACTATACTTTTCCTTATGTCATATATAAGCATTCTTTCTCGTTTTGATCTATATGCAGAAGAATCCACACAGAGAGAGAGAGAGAGAGAGAGAGAGAGAGAGAGAGAGAGAGAGAGAGAGAGAGAGAGAGAGAGAGAGAGAGAGAGAGAGAGAGAGAGAGAGAGAGAGAGAGAGAGAGAGAGAGAGAGAGTAAAAGTCTCGAACTCAACTAGGGTTTCTTTCACGATTCATATATTCCAAATGTTTGTTGATAGACTTTTGCTAGATCTTGTGCATGTTCCTTTATAGATGTGTATGGAGATTTTGCTTATGTAGGTTTCTTTGTTGAACATCTACGTGAGTCTTGAAAATCAAGTCTAGAGACCTAAATTTGTTACATGTATCTTCGTTG